CCTGCCCGTCCTCCCCCTGGTCCTGCCGTCCTCCCCCTGCCCGTCCTCCCCCTGTCCGTCCTCCCCAGTCCCGGGAGCACTTGGCCCCTCTAGCTTCCACCCACACAAGTGACCTTCTCCTGCTGTTCAGCTTCTCCTGACTCCTACCAAGGAGCGAGGCCTCGGGCGTGAGGCCCCCAGGGCACCAGAGAGGGACCGTTAAGTCCCTGGTGCTGCCCTGGGCGGGGCTCCCTTCCCTGCACCCCAGGGGTCCCTCTTACTGTGTGCCTCCCCCGCTGCCTCGGGAGCTGTCAGCAGCTCGGAGTCGGGGAGGGTCCGGAGGTGCGGTGCCCGGGGCGGCCAGGAGACCCACCCAGCAAGGCTCCGGCCTCGTCTCTCTCTTGGTATCAAAGTCCAGAAGGGAGGAGGGCACCCTGGGGGCGGGAGGGCCACGTTTACGCGTTAAACACAAGACAGGCTTCCACCTGAGCTCCAGCCTGAGCGCGCGCACCGGTTGAGCTCAAGTGACAACTTCTCTGGGGAAGTCACTGCCGCGGACCGAATGCCCGTGTGCCCCCAGATCCACATGCCGAAGCCCCAACCCCCGTGTGACAGGCTCTGGAGGTGCATCTTCAGCAGATCACGAAGGTTAACCGAGGACCCCAGGGCAGCCCAGGGCTGATGCCTCCAGGGCCGGGACAGCGAGGCCCCCGGCACTTTCGTCAACTCCAGCAGCCGACCCCTTCTGCTCTCATGAGCGTAAGCAAAGCCCAAAGTCCCCCACCTTCCCGCCCTCTCTTGGCCCACGTCCCCATGCCCCGCAAACCGAAACCCTCGGGGCCACGTCCACTGCCCGCCGCTCCCTCTCGGGCCTTCACCGCCAGGTTCCGGCCCGGGCCCCTCCAGAAGCCGCCCCGGCCCTGCAGCCGGCCCCTGGGCCCCCCACGCCTGGTCAACAACCCCATCAGCCCCCGAACGGCCTCTCTGCCTGGCTCTGGGTGCCCCTTCCTCTCCCGCCAGCTAGCTCCTCCTCTTGGGTGGGACCCCCTGATCTGCAGCCCCCCTCGCATCGGAACCTGGGGGACCCCGGACCCACTCCTCCTCTGTCAACATTCAGTCCCACGGTGGCCCAGCTGGTCTCGTAGCCTTGATGGCATTTCACCATCTGCACACTCCCCGGGGCAGGGGTGCGTTTCACCCCTGGGTTTCTCCAGAATCCCGTGTAACTGCCCAGCACACACCTCCACACGGCTGTCCACAAAGCCGCATTCCCGACACTGGGCCTCGACCTCCCCACCCGGTTCTGCACCTGGACATCTGACCACACACACGCCCATCCCTTCGGCTGCTGGGTCGGCCTGGGCACCGCACCTGACCTGGTCCACCAGCAAAGCCTGTCGGTCCTCCCCCTGATGGCGAGACAACCGGGGGCCAAGCCCGCTCACCGTCCCCCAGCCCCACCCCGCCAGGCCGCCCTGACAGGCGTGAGCCGCATGGGTGGGAGGAAGCGGACCGCGGACCCACCGCACCGGTTGAAAAACCCTGCAGGGTCGTCCCACCTGGTTTAGGGAAAGGAAAAGTCCCTACAACCTGCGTGCCCCCCAGCGCACTCCCCGACTAGACCCCACGCAGAGACCGGCCACAGGGGAACGGGGACCAGCCGCCTCACCTCCCGCAGCAGAAAGAGGTTTGCGGTCACACGATTTCCCGCCTACTCTGGCCGTGGCAGGTGGTGGCGAGACCCCCACCCAGGGAGGCGGGGACCTACAGACACAGGGGAGGGGCCGGTGGCACGCCCCCTTGTGGAGGCTTCTGGACTCACCGGCCCCTCTAGGACGGGCCACCCTCTCTGCAAGGCTGTCCTTACAGCCTCTGGCGGCTCCTCCAGCCCTCCTCTGCGCTCATCACTGACCTCTGACCTGCCCCTGGCCATTCACGGCCCCGACCAGGCCCCAGCCTCCTGCTGTCGGTGACAGCGCCCCCAGACCTCAGAGCCTCCTGTCCGTCAGGCTCTGCGCACACGCGCGTGAGCACAGCCGTCTCGGAAAGGCCTGCTTGGGGGGTGGGTGCTCGGCCGGCACCAGGGACCTGGGGTGCTCCCGCCATTCCCTACTGGAAACCGTGGGCGCGGTTTCTAAATTCCTCGTTCAAACACCGCTTTATGCTGAGCACTGCTCTCCTTCTGGGAGCCGAGGCTTGGTCCGCGCCAGGCAGAGGGTGGCCGTGTGACCGGCCCCCGGGGCCAACGCTGGGCGCGGGGTCTCTGACAAGCTTTGCTGGCAGTGGGTGCTGCCCACGTGCCGTCACGCGTGTTGCCGGGGGTCGGTGGGGGG